GCGGAGCGGCTCTGCCCGGGGCGCGCCCCGGAGGCCTCGTCCGCCGCCAGCGCAGCTCGGGGACCCGCGGAATTGCGGTGGCGCCCCGGCTCCGCGCCCCGGCTCTGCGCCCCGCCGGCTTTCTGTCCCGGGCTGGCTCGCCGGGCCGGGCCGGGCCGGGGCGGGCCGGGGCGGGGGGCGCTCAGGGCGGTCCGTCCCGTCCCGTCCCGTCCCGTCCCGTCCCGTCCCGTCCCAGGGTCTACGGGGCCGCGCCGTCAGTGCACCGCCGAGTACTTCATGCGCTTCTGCTTCTGGCGCTGGTTGCAGAACCAGACGCGCACCACGTTCTTCTTGAGGTCCAGCTTCTCGGCGATGGCCGCGATCTTCTCGGCCGAGGGCCGAGGCTGCAGCGCGAAATACGCCTCCAGCGAGCGCCGCTCGGGCGCGGCGATTGAGGTCCGCCGGCGCTTGCGCTCGGCGCCGGGCGGCGGGTCGGGGCCGGCGGGGCGGGCGCGCCGGGCGGCCTCGGCGCCCTCCAGCCAGGCCTGGAGCACCGGCCGCAGCGCCGTCATGTTGTTGTGCGACAGCGTCAGCGACTCGAAGCGGCAGATCGTGCTCTGGCTGAGCGAGCCCACGCCCGGCAGCTTCAGCGCCGCCAGCGCCGCCCCCACGTCGGCCTGGGTCACCCCCAGCCGCACCCGGCGCTGCTTGAACCGCTCGGCGAACGCCTCCAGCTCCCGCGGGTCCGCGGCGGGCGCGGGAGCCCCCGGGGCGCCCACGGGCACGGGCAGGGGTCCCGCGGCGGCGGCGGGCAGCGGCGGCGGCGGCAACGGGGCGGGCAGCGCGGGGGGCTCGGCCAGCCCCGCCACGGCCAGCGACGGCGAGAGGTGCTCCAGCAGGTCGCCGCCGTCCAGCGCCGGGTGCGGGAGCGGGTGCGGATGGGCGGCGAGGGCGGCGGGGTGCGGGAGGGCGGCGGCGGCGCAGGGCACGCCGCTCATGGCGTGGAAGGCGGCGTCCGGCTTGAAGTGAGGGTGGAGGTGGTGGCCCTTGGCGTGGGGGGCGATGTCCGCGGCCGCCAGCGCCTCGGCGCGGGCCAGCAGGCTCTCATCGAAGCTCCCAAATATATTGCCCTGCAGCTGCGAGCAAGAGCACGCATGGCGAGGTCAGTGGGGAATTCTGTCATCTCCGCCTGAAAAACCGGCCCCGGCACCGCGGGTCCTCCCCGGAGCTCAGGTCATAAAAATTAATAGGAAGACAGCGGCCCCGCTCCGCATGGAGGGGATCAGGGGCGGGCACGGGGGCGGGGGGGAGGGGGGCGCGGAGCCGCGACGCGCGACGGGGCTGCCGACATGAAAAAAACATTAACCCGGTGCCTGTCAGAAAATGCGGCTCGGAGCGGTACTTGCGCTGCATCCACGTACCTGCGGGGCCGGGAGGCAAACTCTGCGCATCGCGTCGCTGCCGGCGTGCAGGCTGGGGAACTTGGGCTCCTGGAGGGCGGCGGGCACGGCGAAGGGCTGCTTGGCGTCCATGGCCATCATCTCGGCGCGGCCCGCGGGCGGGAGGCCCCGGGCATGGGCGCGGGGCTGCGTCTGCCCTCGGCACTGCCCGAGCGAGCGGTGTTCGGTGGCACAGCTCCGCCGGCGCCCGCCCCCCCCGCGCTCCCGCACTCATCTTACACGCTGCCCGCCCGCACGGGCCGCGCACGCGTGATGCGCCCGCAGGACGGGCAGGGCACGGCCGGGAGACCCCCGGTGCCCCGGCGAGACCCTCCGGGCCCGCCCCGCCGCCTCAGCCCCCGCCCGGGCTCGGGGCCGGACGCGCCGTGGCGGGTCCGGCTGCCGCGTGGGGCACTCCCGCTCGAGCCCCGCTCTTCCCTCGGCTGCGGGTCCCGCGGGAGGAGGGGAGGGGCGGGCGTTTCTCCGTGGGCGAAACCCGCGGACTGACGTTTGGAGCAGAGGGGCCGTCGTCCACACGGCCACCCCCGGGGAGCGGCTCTGAAGTTGGCATTGCTCTACTACTGAGCGGCCCTTTCATTTTTGCTCTCCCAATCTTCACACGTCTTCAGACATTACTGCACTTTGAGGCACTAGAGATGCAAGTATTTTGCAAAATCCGAGGTTCTTAAGCAAAAATAAAACCTGCTCCGAGATTTAAGGTTTCCAAGTGTCATAAGCCTCAGTAAATACGTACCAAGAGCCGAAGGAGCTGCTGTCTGGTTTCTGACAAACGTACTGACTGGTCGTGGGCAGAGAAAAGAAACGGTCCTGCTGTGGTGAAACGGGTTCCTTTGGGAAACACGCCCCGGGCCAAGATCAAGGATCAAGGACCGGCTTGAGCTGGAAGCGGCTCTGACCGCGGGCCGGGCCGGGCGTGCGGGAGCGGCCGCGGCGGGACGGGAGCGAGGGACGCAGCACCGCGGACAGCGCCGGCGGCGGGGCCGTCCCGTTCCGCCGCTCCGACCCCTCCTCGCTCCCGAACCGTTCCCGTCCCGTTCCGCCGCTCCGACCCCTCCTCGCTCCCGCCCCGCTCCCGTCCCGCTCCGCCCGCTCCGACCCCTCCTCGCTCCCGAACCGTTCCCGTCCCGTTCCGCCCGCTCCGACCCCTCCTCGCTCCCGAACCGTTCCGCCCCGCTCCCGTCCCGCTGCGGTCCCGCTCCGGCCCCGCTCCCGCCCCGCCCGGGGTCCGCCGCCGGGCCGGGCCGGGAGAGCAGCTCCCTCCCGCCATGGGGAACCGGCGCGTTGTGGCGAAGCTGCCTGCCCTGATTTATGATAAAACATTTAAAGGAAATCATTTATATTTCAGAGGCCCTAAATAGCTGCATGAAAGTTTTATCTGAAGTGGCACCGCTTTAAAGGCGGCCCTGCTTGCTGGAAGTAATTAATAGAGGGATAAATTTCAGGCCTTTGTTTTGTTTTGGTTTTAACCCTCCCTTTATTTAGCGCTGTCTGTTAACACCAGTAAACAAGGAGATGTGAAGGGTGGATGAGAGCCCGACTAGCGCCTGCTCGTCAGAGTCCGACTCCCTGGGCCCGGCTCCGAGGGTGCTCGCACAAGATTAGCAGCTTTTTCCGTGTCTCTGCTGTTGCTTCATTCTCTCCCAAGTGAGGAGAACCTGCCGGAGGCCCCGCACGCTCCTCCTGCCGGTCCCGTGGTCAGTGCACAGACTGTTCACTGCATCACCCGTGGGACTGCCACGCTGGGCTCGGGGCTGCTGTCACAGCTTAGGGCGTCCCTCTCCCAGCCCACGCCGGACACCTCTCCTGCCTTAGGCACGGCCTTCCCCTCCCCTCCCACAGGCATCCGGGCTGGGCTGAGCTCCTCTTAATTAATGCTGTAAAATATTGATGCTCCTGGCCCTGTCTGCTGCCGTTACACCTTACAGCCGGGGGAGAGGAGTCCAAAGGATAAACAATAACGAGTTAAAGGAGCCCAGATGGTTTGCCATCAGAAACTGTCTGCAGACTCAGAGGTGTCACTGCAATAGATTTCAGAGATCATTCACTTACTGGTAAATAATTAATGGCATTTCTGGAAGAAAAAACCCAAACCCATACCCTGATGAAACATTGCTGGTGACTCATTGGAAATCTGAAGGCAAAAGTCAGATTAAAAGCATGTGCTATTTTATCCTTTGTCACAGTTCATGAATTGTTATCAATTTTCCTAATACATCAAAATATTCTGTTCTTATTTAGATCTTAATTCAAAGCTCATCACAGAGTGGTGCCAATAGACTCTGGGTTTCATTGTATGAACTCCATTTAGTTTAAAAAAATACGCATTACATGCTGACACAGGACTGATGTCCTGTGAAAGTTTCCTGGGAAGTTTGAAATAAAACCATGAGTTATTTAATCCCCAATCCATGCTGGGGGCAGCACTGTGTGTTACAGTCACAAAGCTGGCAGAAATAATCTCTTTACATGTTCTTCAGCTGCTGTTCAGAACAACCACATGCCCAGTTCCTCTGGAGGAGGCTGCTGCAGGGTTTGCCTATGGGGCAGCTAAAGCACACACAGCTCACACAGGGACACCTCCCTGCACCTTCACCCCTGCTGCTCCTGCTGTGGAGGCTTTGCTCCCCTCCCCAGCTCACCTCGAGGCCTGGCCAGGTCTCATTGCTGTGCCCTTGTGTTCGTCTTCACTGCGGATCTGGAAAAGAAATTTGGTTTCCAGACCTGAGTCAAGATTTATGTGATAAAATAATTTCTGTTGCGACAATGCAGCCAGTTACCAAAATCACAGAATCAGGGGATGGTTTGGGTTAGAAGGGATTATCACCAGGCTTTGCTGAACCTCAGGAGGTTCCACGGGCCCACTGCTTGAGCTCATGGGCCTGGTCCATGAGGAGGAAGAGGACTAGAGCTGACTCTGGAAGGTTCCTCTAGACCTGAGCTTGCACAGCACATTTCCAGCATCCCAAAGTTGTGAGCCATGCTGCACCCCGGATGATATGGCTGTTCCACTGCACAATCTGATCGAGGAAATATCTCGAGTTACCCAGTCAATTATTCATCAGCTAAATGGCCAAGCATCAATTACCTGGCCTGATTCTCTTATTCATTAAGGAGATTGAAGAACCCACCTTAACAGAGCACAAAAAAAGTTGCTAAGTTACAGGAGCTGTCTGTCACTGAGGCAGTGTCGGGCTTCCAAAGGAAAGGGTCTGGCACTGAGGCTTCCTCTGGGTCTCCAGAGTGTCCTCCAGAGCTCTTGCTTTTGTGGAGCCCATTCCACTGCCGGTCTGGAAGCATGGCTCAGGGACAGCAGCTCGAGGTCGGGCTGTGCCTTGCGTGGTACCATGGGGCCTGAAAGGGAGTTCTGGAGCTCTGCAGAAGAACTCGGAGGGTTAAAGGGAGGGACTAGGGCGGGAACCCCATCGCTCTGGGGAGTTTTTGACACAGGTGGGGATGGGATGGAAAGTGTTTCAAAGAGAACAGCTGTCAGTGGCATCACAGCAAGGATGGGTTTCCTCTGCCCGCAGGTCTGCACAGTGAGGGCTACCCTGCACAAACCCACCAGAGAGAGCTCAGGAGGGACTCAGCTTTGGGCCAGTGCTGAACTTCCTTCCGAGGAGAGGGAGGGGGAAGCATCTGGGGTCTGTGCATTGCTCCAGATTAGGTTAGAAGTGATTTCTCTCTTCCTCTATAACTGAAGTCCAGGCAGAGCTTTGCCAGCTGCAGAGGGGCTCTCGGGCATGTCCTTGGCCTCAGGTGGTGGCACAGATGGCTCCAGGGGCTGAGCAAGTGTTTGTAGGTGTTAGTCCAAGACCAAACCCCAAAGCAGAGCATTGTGGCCATATTACAGCACAAGAAGTGCTGACGCTGTGCTGCAGCTCTGCTCTGCTGGATGACGGGGGCAGGATAACCAGCCTTGTCCAGCAGCAGCAGGTGGAAAGCTTATCAACTTAGTTTTGAATTTTTCAGGAAGCAGGGTTTTGATTTGAGATCCCAGGAAAACAGGTGGCCACTCTCTTGGGAGGGGCTTCCATTAATCACTTGTTGTATACACGAACTATAGAGTTTTTTACTTGTATCATCCACTGAAATTCAAGTTGCAGTAAAGGACGCGTCAGTCCTTGATCAGAACAAACTCTCCTCTTCCTGCCAGAGAGGATGGGAGCAATGGGGCAGTGCTTTCCACGGGCAGAACAGAACACTCAGCTGCCAGGCATCTGGTTGTATTTGCTCCTAATTCTAGAAATACATCTAAATGCATCTAACAGGACTCTGCCACAAAGAAGTTAATGAGGAACAAACATTAATTATTCATGTCCTGAAACAGTAGGTCTCCTAATGTTTTTGCTAATCAACAAGTGAAACAGCTGTATCTTCTCAGGGCAATCTTGGGGGGACAGAAGAACAACGCTGACATGCTGGACTGCCCCCAGAGTCTCACCCTCTAACTCAGTGAAGGGTATTTGTTCCCTGCCCAGCAAAGGTGCCAGAAGTGTGGGAGCAGGAGCAGTGTTGGCCCTGCAGTGCCCCGGAGCAGCCCCTCTGCATCCTCACAGCTGCTCCTACAGCCAGGGGCACGGACGGGCCTGGCCAGGGCGTCCCGGGAAGCGCGGCAGAGGGAAGGCGCAGTCTGCTCTCAAAGGCAGGGAGAGCTCAGCTCTTTCAAGCCAGAGTTGGCTCCCTCTGGGCTCCGACTGCTGCAGTAGCCCCCCTCACTCCTCTGCGACCCGCAGGTAACCCAAAGTCACGGGAAGAGCTGAAGGGAAGAGTGGATGTAAGTGTTGTCTGACAGAGCTTTCACCACGACAGAGCACACAGAGAGAGGTATGTGATGTTGAGTTGACTTCAAATAATTTTCACATGAATTACTAAAGAAATGTATAATTGATCAGTGTTTAAATAAATCACTGGCAGGAGTGTTTAAGGTTGCCGGCGCAGGACGGGCTATATTTAACTCCCACGTCACGCAGGCTGCTCCAGCAGCGCCCCGCGACACCACCGAGGCACAAAAGGAATTCGGCTCCTAAAGATAAATGAACGACAGCAGAGAAGCCAAAGCCCTGAGCCGGGGGCGATGCTGGTGCCCCCATGCCCGGGCTGTTCCCCAGCCCTGGCGCTCCGGGCTGTCCCCAGGGCCGGGACAGGGCTGGGGCACCCCCGGGCTGCCCCGGCTGAGCCTGGCTCCCAGAAAAGTGACCCCGAGGAGGCCCCTGTCCCCGAGCACCCAGAGCTAGCACAGGGACCTGCTGCGCTGACAGGGGCACTGCTCCTGCCGGGGTCCCTCTGGCCTTGGTCCCTCGCCTCCACCCCAGTGGTGACAGCCCCTGTCATGGGCTCTGTACGGGCTGAAGGTGAAATGGCCAGGTAAAACATATTTCTGAACTTCAAATACAAGAGATGTTCCTGACAAAAACTGTGTTTTCCATATGCCATGAAAAAGTAGTGAAAAAAACTGGATGTTTTTGTGGGAAAAAGGGAGAAGCTCCAGGTGAAGAGGCACCTGGTAACCTGGCACATGAGGTCTCACCTCAGCCCTGTCAGCCCTGCCTGCCTCCCTGCACCCAGATCAGCCTACCTGAGACTACCACACAGCCACTGAAATTGTCCGTGGAATGATCCTGGAGAGAAAGAAAGAGCTCCAGTTTATGAATTTAGGTTTTGATCATCACAGTTGTTAAGTCTGCTGTGGAATAAAGTGGTGGAAGCATATGAAAACCTCCGGAGAAACAACAAACTTATTTTTCCCTTTTGAAAGCCCTTTTATCAGTGATCTCATCGGTAAAGGCCCAGACGTGTTACACAATCTGCTCCAGAGGACAGAACTGGGTCCCCCGTTTCCAGAGATGAGTTAAAATTAGATTGTCACCTTTGGGAACCTTCTCCAGAAGTTAATGCTGTATTCCAGACAGCCTCGACTAGAGACAACAAAGAGATTCTTGGCCTGACAATTACACCAACAATTTACCTTCATGTGACTGCTCCCTTCAAATAGTTCCTGCAGACATTTGCTTCTTCCCAAGGAGCTCCTGGCAGGATTGTGGCCCAGGGCTGTGGCAAGAGCTGTCCCACCCTGCTGAACGCTGCTGCTGTGCTCAGGGAACTCTCAGATCACATTTGGAATGGCTGGGGGGAAAAAATACATCCAAAGCCATACACACACACACAAATGCTACTCCCCTTCCAATTTTTGTGTACATCCTTTTTCCAGGGAAAGGGTCCGGGGCAGATTCCAAAGTTTAACTCTTGGCCCTGGGATGTCTCAAAGCCACGGGTTTGTCATGGAAAGGCTCTTCAGCAAACAGAAGAGAAACACGTATTTTATATCACCCTGAGCACCTGGGCACAGCAGGTACAGGGAGGGGCTGCAGGAGGGAATAACAGGAGCTGGTGGAAGGGCCGAAGACCAAAAATAAAGGTATTAACAGAAGACATTAGTTTTCACCCCAACCCACAAAGGAGCCAGAGCTGGCAGGTGTGTCCAACAGTCCAGAACACTGCAAACCTGCAAGGGACTGGGAACCCACCCTGGACTGTACAGCTTCTTCCAGCTTCTGTTAGCCTTTGAGCTCCCCCACACCTGTCAAACAGCCTTTACTGGACCCCCTCCACCCTCTCTCCTCCCCCATCCATTTACCTGTCTTCACGCATTCGGTTCCAGAGCACTGAGACACTTGGAAGATTTCTCTTGGCTCTGACCTAGACCAAACCTGCACACATATTACTCACACATAAAACTCCCTTGACACACCCGCTTTCCCCCAAAGACGTGATAATGCTCTTTTTCTGAGTTGTAATTTTTTTGAATGGTTCTCCTTCCAATTTATTTCAGTTAGAATTTTGTCTTTTCTAAATCTTGAACCATTCCATACTACAACTTTATTGCAAAAAGTCAACATGCATCTTAGAAATTTGGCTTGTAATCAATAAAACAAACATTACATATATGAATTTTAATGTGTAAACAATTAGAAATTCAACAATATCTGCTATTATCCTATTACACAAGATCACAATCGGTAAAAACTATAGTACAAGGTTACTATACACCAAGAGGAGCTTTGTTCCTTTTCACATGATTTTGCTAAAGTGGTGCTTTCCTAAGCAGGTTTCAGATTTGAGGTGGTTTTGTTTATTTTTGCTCAGGTTAATTTAGCACAGAAAGGGAGAGAATTCTCTGCAGTGACTTTCTTTCCCCCTCCCCTCATCCTTCAGTGTCTGTCCCCCAGCTCAGGCTGGCACACTTGGCAGGGGCACACAGGTACCTGAGGGCAGTTTTGCCCATGGTACAGGTGAATTTCCCAGTAAAGCATCACCATGAAACGAGCTCAGCTGCACTGCCCTGCTGCCTCTGGAAACACAGACATCCAAGCCAAAGCAGCCCAAGGCAGGCCCAGCACGCCCTAAAGCGTGGGGAGTCCACAGGCCTTGGCAAAGGCAGGCGGGTTTCACACAGCTCCTCTCCTCCTCCAGCCCCGGCTGTGTCCCCTCTGCCCGGGCAGAGCCAGGCTGGGCCACTGCCACCCCCGCGGGCAGCAGCCACCTCGGGGCTGGCACTGGCACTCAGGCTGCCAGGGGACCCTGTGGCAAACTGCCACTGTCTGCAGCTCTCAGCGATGGCCCTTGCTCCCCTGGCCCTGGCCCTGCCTCAGGGGCACCCCAGCGTCACTTTAGAAATAAAACCATATGAAAAGGAATCCATTCTGTGTGTGTCGAAGGCTACCGCAGTTTTTCTTACAGCTTAATTAATCCACTGTAATTTTCATTTTCCAAATACAAAAATACAACAATTCTTATTGAAATCTATACGCCGGTAATTTTAGTACACAAAAAAGCAAAGTATTTACAAAATTATACAGTTTAAGAAAAAACTCTGTACAAAAAAATATATAAATCCTTTTGATCCCTCTCTCCTTTTTTAAGTTGTTAGGACTCGGACATATTTTCTGCAATGGACTTCTCAAGATACACACTGTGCCACAGACATTAAAACCCCTAGAGGTGATGGCAGAAGAGCAAGACATTCTTGTAAATTCATGGGGTGGGTTTCTCCTCCATTTCTTCATGCCTGGAATTTAGTCTCAGCATTAGCAGGACAGTCCTAATTCTAGGAAGAGGAGAGGTTTGGAAAGAGACAGAACACTGGAGCCACTCCCTTCAGCTGGCAAGAAACAGGACATTAAACAAGTTGGATACCTCACCACAGCACAAGGGTAGAGTCAGCAGGGCCCTGACCCCAAAGGGTGCTCAGCACCTGCCCTGGCCACACCCAGAGCCACGGGCAAGTAAAGGGTTTGGTAGATGCTGTCCTTCAGTCAGGAATTACAGGGGCCTAGACTGGCAATCATTCAAGAAGAAGAGTGCTGTGCATGGCCATGGTGCTGATTTTGTGCAGAAATGCACAAAAAACGTGTTGAGGAGCGGCCAGGGCAAGCGGGCAGTCAGGGAAGTGCTGCTGGGAGCCCCAGCCACAAGGCAGAGAGCCCAGAGCCAGCGCAGCACACGCCCTGCTGGGTCCCAGGGCACAGAGAGGCACTGAGAACGGGACACGGCTGCAGAAGTGCCCTGGGACACGAGCAGAGCCACCGCACAGCAGCCCTGAACGCCTGGGACACGGCAGGCTGGCGTGGGGCCGGGCAGGACACCCCAGTGCTGCGGGCTGAACCCCACGGGGCTCTGCCTGGAACTCAGCTGCCAGCTGGGAGAGGAGAGCTGCTCCTGGCTGGCAGACAGGGGCCACCTGAGCTGCTTTTGAGGAAGATTTGAACTCCTTCCATTCTTGCTCCAAATACTGAAATGCAGTAAACAGCCTGACCTACACAGAGCCTTATGCTGAAATGACAGAAGGAAATCAAGGAGTGAAAATCCACTCCTGTGTGTGCTGCAGCTGATGTTTTCTGTGAAGCAGAATCTGGAGAAACAGAGTGAACTGGACAATGTTACAACTGTTAAATTGTTTCTTCTACCTCCTCTTACAGAAAGAAGCACAACATATAGTGTGGCTGTCACACATACTGAAGTAAATGATTTAGGAATCTAGCCACAAATAATTCCTACAACATGAGACTCCACAGGAAATAAAATGCTCCCTTTTTATAACGAGCAAATGAGGCCAGTTTTTCTTTCATAATATTTAATGAAAGTTTGTCCTTCCCCTAACCCCATAATATTGCTAAATAAAACCTGTAATATCTTTTCAATTATAAACTAACAAACCAATCACATTATAAAAAACCCAAAACAAGATAATACAGGTGACACAAAAAGAGGACAAGAAAATACTGATTTCCAACCCCCTCCCCCCTTTTTATCCTTCTTAAATAGAAAAAAATCACCACCCTGGTGAGCTTGATAATCCTGTAAGAAGTTCCTGGGCCTTTGGCTAGCTCAGTCTCACAGCTCTGTGTCCCAAATGTTTTCATACCAAACTGCTCATGGTAAATTTTGTGGTTTGAAAAGAAAGTAAAGCTCTTTTTGGCTCATCAACTTCTTTAAATAAACGTTTAAAAGATGTAGCTTGAACTATATTCCTAAAATTATACATTTCGAACATCAAGTTTCATCTTCTCCAAGAACGGGATTCATCCTCATCTTCATCATCATCATCATCATCTTCGTGCAAAAATAAATCTGAGGTTTCAGTCTCCTGGAGGAACAAAAAAGATGAACTTTCAGACACAAGTTCCAAGCTCTGCCCAGGGATGTCTCACAGCACCAGCTGTACTGGTATCTGGTGCGGGTGTCAGCGCCTCTCTCAAACTCACACAGTTACATCCCAACAGTTTTAGCACAAGAACAGCAGCCTCATGTCAGGAAAGAGAAAGAGAGCAAAGCTTCAAGGGAAGCAGGAATAAACCAGCACTCACCCTCTCCCAAACAAGGTTTCTGCTAAATGCCACAACAAAATAACCTTTAAAAGCTTAAGGTGTTACGGTGAATTACAGGGAAGAACGCAATCTTCTCCTAGAGTAGAGCACGAGGAGTGAGGAGTAAAAGGCTTTGCAGCCTGCACATACAGAACCTGAGGCTTGTTTACACCACTGACAAATTAACAGCCCATCCACAAAGCATCTTCTTTTCCCCCATTTTCTCCGTTTTAAAATGTGGGAAACGTAGGGTTTCGTACCCAGTGAAATGAAAACCAGTTCAGTTCCTGGTTTGTAAAAAACATCTTTGATGAAGTTTCTTCAGCACACAGGGAACTGTATCCCAAGAGCTCTCAGGTGTTAGATTCTAGTAAGAACGATCAGGTTATTAAGAGATTTCCATACCTCTTCCTTGGACT